GGTTCGCGGCACCCGCGGCATGCAACGCGTTGTTGTCGCGGGTACGTTGCGTAATACATTAATTTATTACGCCACCAAAAACCGGCATTACGTGAGGGATAAGTAGATCGTAAAAATTAATAACCGTGATAGAGAGGTGACATTAAGTCTGATTTCTGACATATAGCTAATAATCCCTATTACAGTAATATGCGAGTTAATAGTATGCTTGAACGAATTAATTGTGAAAGAGCCGTCGGCTTGGGGCTTCTGGCTCTGGGCCTTCGATGGAGCATGTTTACCGATATTGGGTCGAATCGCCTATTCGGTAATATCTTGTATCTCGACGCAGACGAAGGTCTGGAATTTCGTGTTGGCGCTATCACGCATATTCATGCTATACACGCGTGAAAAGTTGACGCTGGTGGGTTAATTAGTTCAAAAAGGCTTAGCTTAGGCTTAGCATAGGCTTAGTTCAGGTTTATGCTTAGTATACTTCGCCAACCACCCCGGGTGGTACCGCCCCCAGGGTGGATGGAGGGTGGGGCTGGGGTGGTTGGGGGTGGTCGTGGGGGTGGTTGAGTGGCTGGGCGGGTGGTTGGGGGTGGTCAATGCATTAGCCACCCACCCACCCTTACAAAATTTTTCATGATCTGGCATAAAACTTTTCGGGCTTCCGACTACAGGGTGGCCCAAAAAAACAACAGGTTTGGGGCGCGTTTATCTCGAGAACCTTAACGAATCCATGGTGGGTTGATGGCTGAAAACCATTTTCGCATTTTGGAAAGAAATTAACGACAACTTGATTTTTTTCGATTTTTGTGACTTATCAATACAAATGACACCCGAAAACTGTGCGTTCGGGGAAGTTTAATTTGTATTTTTCTCTACACCTGCGGCAGGGGATTTCTAATTTTGCTGTGTAAAATCTTGTAGGCATTAGATAGATACATGCAAAATTTTGGAATTTTGAAGGTCAGGTTGGCAGGAGTATAGCGATGCTCAAATTTAATATGGAGAAATTTCGTAAATTTCAAGAATATTACAAAAACCTATGGTGGAAAAACTCCTCAGATCAAGCTGTTTTAGCCCGGCCTATAGGCTCGATACCATCCCGCAAAATATCAAAAAATTTTTCAGATCCGCGGATTTTAAATTTTTCGATGACCCCCTGGTCATGGATGTTTCGAGGTCACGAAACTGAACTTGGAAAAATATTCTAAAATTGCAGATAGAATTTCCGTGTTTGCTTTCGTTGCCGTGTAGACTGGCGTCCATCTATCACGTAGACAATTTCTAGCTACGTACCCATTTGGGAGGTTGCCTTTTAGCGCTTCGAAAACGGTTGGTTCATGCTTTTTCGCAGACCTTGGTGCCAATCTATAAAATTCAGTTGTGACGGCTAGAATTATTGTCATAATTTTATTTGATATTACTTAATTGGCGCATTCTAAAATTATATTTACAAATTTGGGCCATCGAATCTCTCAAAAGAAATTCATGAAGAGCCCAAATATACCCGAACTCGAGGCGCCGAAAAAAATTTCTCGAGGGTTTAGTAGCCCCGACTTTTCGCATAAACTAAGCCTCGGGTAGGCAACTAGAACCCGATGCAAAACAAAACCTTTTCAGGGCAAACGAATTTAAAAGAGGCCCCAAAGTCGGCTTTTCAAAAACGTTATATACGGGTTTTAAATCAAAATTAACCATTAACTTCAGCCAGATCATTCCAGAATTCTGCTCTCATACACAATTCGATGCGTGCTTTAATTGTATCCACCAAACCCCGGTGCCATTTTCATTTTCAAAAATTCGGTTTTCGAGCCAGGCGTCGGGTCAAAAATCGGGCCCGAGGGGGTTTTCCTCTTTCCCTTGATCAACTTTGTCATTTGCCACAGGAATTATAATTTTTTGTAGGTACTCTTACACCCAGTGAACAGTCCAGAATAGAAAAATTGGCATTTTATGGCATTTTGTCTTGGCATGCTAAAACGCCTCCAGGCGGGTTACGGTAGAAAACAGAAAATCGTCGTTTTCTCGTTCTTTTCACCATAGAAACGTTTCGATCTTTTGGGAAAACAAATAATATAGTTTTAGTCCATGCATCGAAGTATTTAGAAATTTCCGTGGCTAAATTCAAAATAAGTTTTTGCATATTTTGGGAAGGTAGGTGGCTGAACTCCACGATCTTTGGCCGTTAGGTGACCCTTACTGGTGTTTACCAATGGAAAATCTTAAGCAAAATCACAGCATACGATAAAAAAGAAAAACGCGAAAAACCAAAACTACAGTATCCCTCTGGGGCACGTTTACAAGCAATATTAAAATACCATAGAATCCGGGTAGTAACTGGGCGTTGGATCAAAAGATCATCATTTGGAGACACCATTTGCAAAAGATCAGCCATGGGCAGAGGAATTTGAAGCGAGTTATAAATTAAAAAGCAAAAGATGCAAAATAGTGAAATTTTGTATTGCTTCAAAAAAATGAAATTGACCCTCGGTAAATTCTAAGATTTTACCATTACATTTCTACAAACATCAGCGATTTGTAGGCAAAAACCCGAATTTTCCCACCACCCAATCAAGAGCGCACAATTTTCGGTCGTAACCAAGAAACAATAGTACAAAGGTACTCAAAAATCGAAAAAATCAAGTTGTGTTTTATTTTTCCAGGCCGAGAAAATGGTTTTCAGCCATCAACCCACCATGGATTCATTAAGGTTCTCGAGATAATCGAGCCCAAACCTGTTGTTTTTTTTTTTGGGCCACCCTGTACATTGTCTTTGAGGGACCTTATCTGACTCGAACAAGCTTTTATTGCCTGTTAGGAAAATTTGTAAGGGGTGGGGTGGGGTGGCTAATGCATTGGACCACCCCCAACCACCCCCAGCCACCCTTGACTATACTTAGGCTTAGCTTAGGCTTAGCTTAGGCTTAGCTTAGGCTTAGCTTAGGCTTAGCTTAGGCTTAGCTTAGGCTTAGCTCAGGTTTATGCTTAGGCTTAGCTTAGGCTCAACTTAGCTTGAATGCTTCACTGCTGTTTTTAAATCTGGACCCAAAAAATCATGAGGCGTTGCATAATATCGATTTGGGCGGTCAATGTCGGCCTTACCGTTTATATTTGCATTTTTGTGCCGATCAAAGCCACGATTGCCGCTAATAACGCCGTCACGTAAGTTTTTAGATCCTTTTAATAAAAACTCTTCCTTCGTTCTGGCAGTATCGATTTTAAGATACGGTACGGCCTCCTTTAACGCCTTCCTAAACGCGTACGCTAGTATATGCATCCCGATTATGGTCTTACTATCGATACTGTTTTATTTCATTTTCTTCTTGGCCATCTCTCGGCAGAAATCGATCGTGTCGACAAATAACGTCATCGCCGGCCGGATTATACGATCCGTGCTGGCAGCTATGCTACAAAACATGAGTAGGATTCTGAAATTTGGACCTAAAAAGTCTTAAATTGTCTTCGCTAGCTCGCCTGGACCCTAGGTATTTTCCAGCGGCCCTCATCGCCAGCCTTCCGTTGCTGTACACCTCGCTGAAGGTGCAGTTGGGGTTGCCGTGGCCCGAGATATACACTCCCACGTACTTGCTGCTGATCAAAGTTGGCACGAATCGGTACGCGACGCTGACGGCGTGGATTATTGTGCTGTGCGTGGCTGAGGTGAGGAAATGGGGAGTTTAAAGGGACAGGGAAGCGTTGGAGTCTGCCTCTTCCGCTTGTTAGGTATGAAAAGCTGCGCGCAGTACAGAGATTACGTGGGGCCAAACTTATGAAATTTTTGGGGTCTCGATAATGCCAATCGGTAGAATGTCAAAAAAGAAACAAAGATAATTATTTTTGGCACGAAAGAATACTAAAGTCTAAGGACTTAATAAATTTCAGTACCGCCTCGAGGTCAAGCAGAAGTTATGGTCAATTTTTGGAGGTCGGCTGACGCCTAGCATCGAAACACATTTATCGGCGTTGCCTCATCAGAGCCCTGGTCGCTCAATGCCTATTATTAATGCACACACCAACGGAAAGCATTTCTCGATGGGAAATAGGATTACCCAATGATAGAAAAGCTGATAGAAATTTGACCCATTTATTCGCGTTTGTGGGCTTGAAAAATAATAAAAACTAACACTGCCCAATGATCAACCGCAGCTAACCCCCAGTCGAAAAGCGTTTTCGGTTGGATACTTTTTTCCAGGTTGTTTTTAAAGTATGCCTCACGCTTGATGGACTGCTTCAAAGCATTCGAAAACAGGTGTTCTGCCTCCTCACTTACGACTTGCTGAAATTTATCGTATAAACGGTTGCGCCATCCAGTCGATCGATTTCTGCCCACAACTACAACCCGACAATGCGGTATAGATGCCGAAAATATTTTCTATGTTTAATAGCCTTTGTCTTGCTGATAGTAATCATTGGTATTTTCCGCAGAATCGAGAGAAACGAACCATTTATATTATCGGTGGGTGTACTTTTAACGTAATTTTTAGAATAAATGCGATTAGGGAGAGTCAAGAGATAGAGCGAGATAAAGCGAGCGAACGAGAGAGAGAAAGAGAGTGAGAGAGAGTGTGTAGGGAGATAGTGAGAGAGAGCGAACAAGCGAGCGAGCGAGAGAGAGAGAGAGAGAGAGAGAGTGAGGCAGGGCGAAAGAGAGCGAGAAAGAGAGAGCGAGAGAGAGAGATAGAGAGATAGAGAGAGAGTGGCAGAAAGAATTAGATATAGCAAAAGCATATATCCGGTTACAGGAAAGGGTTTTAATAAATGTCGGCCTATGTAATTTTATCGGTGTTGAAAGTGCAGTGCACCTGTCAGTGCCGAGGCAGCCTCACCCCAGTAAAGAACAAGTCAAAATTCCCGAACAAAAAGTGCTTTTCCGAAAAAGGGCAGCACCTAAGTTCATGGTAACAGAAATCACACTCGCGTTCCTGTAATACGGGCGTGGCCTAATTTTGCAAAGCTCCCCGATTTTTGAGTTTCGACGCGATTGTTCGGACAGGGCAAAGTAACTTTCAATGATGGTGCAACCCACCAAACCGGCACTACACCCCATAAGCTACGTATTATTGGGCGGATTCCTGTTATTCCTCTGCATCGGTGTGTTCAACCAGTTTTTGAAGCCAGATCAAGACGTCACTTCCGATCTTGAGCGATATTCCGGGTATTTGGGCGTAGGGACGGCTGGGGAGCATCAGCTGCACTATTGGTGGGTAGTCGGAGTTGTAATTAAACGATCAGGCTACAGATCGCTTTTGGCTACTTTATCGGTCCCAAAATTGGACCGGATTTCTACCAAACCATAGGCAACAATCAGCCATTACCCATAGCGCTGTAGCGACAGTAACTCTCGAGTTATGGCGAAAATACTGTTTTTCCAAAATCTCCTAGCTATGTTTCCGGTTGTCTTTTTTGACGTTGCACCGCTTGGCACCGACGTTTTGGGTAGAAATCTCTGATTCGCTCGAGATAATGGGATTTAGCTCTTTATAAATATTTTAAATTGCGTTTTTAGGTGATCTTTGTCAGACGCAATTCTAAAAGAAGAGCCGTCGCGTTATTCTATTTAACATCTAGCGGTGCAATTCTTAAGAAAACTCATAAAAAACGGCTACGGATTTTTGTGATTAAGAGTCTGTACACTTCTGGCCCAATTTGCCACTTGACTGGATGAACCAAAGCGCCTACACAGATAAATTTTCAATTTCCCTTTCTCGTTTTTGGCGTTTTGATAAACGTTGAAAATGTCGTATGGGTCAAAATGCCGAAAAGCCAAGTGTCGACAGCAAAATACAACCTTTCAGGCTAGCCCAGTCACAAAATGACCCAACCAAGGATCCATTGATTGTATGGCTGAGCGGTGGACCTGGCTGCTCGAGTCTTTACAAGATGTTTAGCGGCACTGGGCCGTATATCGTCAGGATGGTAGGTAATGGCTAGTCCAAAAGCCTAAATCCCAGTAGCTCTTTATTGCGTAGACAAGTTTCCAGGCCAAATTCAAAAATTCAAAGGCCTAAGCATTCTTACACGGAATTTTTTGCTAATTCCGAACCAGTCCTCAAAAATTTCGAAACAGCCCGACTTTAACAACTATGAGTTTTTCAACAGCGTTCGCCTGAAAAATGTTTAATTTCAGAACAGCTCAAGGGGTGTGTATCTCGAGGGGAACTCCTATTCCCTGAATCGTAACGCTTCCGTCCTCTACATTTCGGCTCCGGCGAATTTCGCTGGATTTTCCTATTCTACGATTGTCGACGATAACTCTACAAGTGATAATAAGGTAACGGCATTTGCTTACCAAAATCGAAGTTACTATTTCCAGACAACAAGTGAAAACTGGCAGGCACTGGTACAATTCTATACCAAACACCCGACTTTTCGAGCCGTCGACCTCTATTTGAGTGGTGATTCTTACGGTAGGTTGTGATGGGTAACTGTACTATATTTTGCGGACGGGAAATCCATGATTATTTAATTTTTTGGGCTATATGAAAACCACGAAACCTCATGCTTTTTAATTTTTACGCCATTTAAGAAAAATCTTGTATCAAGATTTTAGGTGGAACTTTCGTGACCCTATTTGCATCGAAGATCCTCGAAAAGATGCCGGAGTATTACATAAATTTAAAGGTGTTGTAGGGTTTCTATCTAATTTATTTTTATGTTTACCATTAACATTACATACCATTTTTTATATTTTTTAGGGTGTAGCCATTGGAAACGGGATGGTGGATGCGGCACTGGAGAGGGCTACTGTAATCCCATACCTATACCAACACGGGCTAATCGCGATACCGTGAGTAACGTATTTTTCGATTCCTTATCTCGGGTACAATTTAAAATTCTCAGTTTTTTACCTGTTTTTCCGAGCTGTCATATGTTTAAAGCATTTTTTTCATGTTTCCTTTCAGGGATTACCAGCGTTATCTAAACGAATGTTGTGGCGGACAAGCCGAGGGCTGCCCGACTCGGGATACGGTAAGTTCACGTAGCCGTTAAGTCATCATTATTTTTTTCCTCTAGAGCTTGCGATGTCAGAAGCTGACGGACGACTTAAAAATCGGAAGCACTTAGTCGGTTGTTGAAGGGTATATTTAAAAGGAGAGGTGTTACCAGAAACACCAGTGCTTCGTTTTTTTAATCCGGCTAGGTTCCAGTATACAGGGTGTCCCAAAACCCCCCTCTAGAGGCCGTCAATCGGATCGGATCGGAATGATTTTTATACCAATCGAAAGCTCTCGGAAAGGCGAGAAAACAAGCGGGTTTTGTTTTCTAAGATTTAATCTGAGTTTATCGATATTTCAGGTCTTCCTAAAAAGCCGGGAATTTTTCATCAGGAATTTCTCAATTAGCATGCAGATCTCGCATAAATCAGCAGTTTTCATGGTTTTTGGACATAAAATTAGCAAATAAAAAGGCTCAATTAAGAAATTCAACCCTCCTAGTTTTCTCGCCTTTTCGAGAGCTTTCGATAGATACCTAAATCGTAAAAATCTGAATCGACTGCGGACCGCTAGGTAGGGGTTTTTTTTTGGGACACCCTGTATAGGTTGCCAGATACTGCCGCAAAATTGGATTTCAAAATTCTGATGTGATTTCGAGCATCATCAAGCGATTTTGATCATTCTAGCTGTTTTCGGCGTTAAAAATTGACCCAGGAATCAGCGAAATTGCTAACTTGAGTGATTTGCATTGCGACATGTAAACGTTTTTGGTCTCGTAGCGAGTGCCCCTTCAATTTTCTTCGATCATAGGTTCGATCGCCGAACACACGAATTTTGACTTCTGTGCCCCTTTAAGGCCTTGTTCTTTGTGCGATACCTGTAATACTGTGTAATACATCATGCCCGTTCTCTCTACTCCCTTCTAACCCAGTTTCCAGTGGTTCGGGCATCGACCCATACGGGCTTCACCATGAATGCAAACCAGATTGGTCTGGTGACATTCCGACAGATTGTGACAACACATGGGCTATCGCCAAGTACTTGAACGACCCGGCACGACGACGAAATCTCGGTATCCCACCCTTTGTGCAGGATTGGAAGGTTTGCAGGTGAGTCGTGTCGCATTTCAGCTCTCATCATAGATCCCGGATTAGCGTCAAGGCCACATTTTGACACATTTTCGGAGATATCTCGGAAAATGGCGCCGCGCGTGAGAAATGATGACCTGTGCCTGTACACCAAAAAAGCAGAACGGGCGAGTTCTGCAAGTGCTCTGTCTGAAAAAGTGCATTTGCGGGCGGCCTTAACGTGATATTTGAGAGGGATGATAAGGGGTTGCATTCGGAACGAATATTTCTCGGTCACAGAAATGCACAACAGCTAAACTATACGAAGCAATACCCTACGGTACTGCCGCAGGTGAAGCGAGCATTAGGAGCGGGAATCAAGGTATTTAGCGAAGCAAAGTTGAAATTATTCAAATTAGGTGATGCTATACTACGGTGACATGGATGCGATATGTAACCCGATTCTGGGCCTACGGTTTACCTTACAAATATTTGAAGCGATGCAATGGGTCAGTTGTATGGCTCTAGCCGGTGAAATACCGCGTGTCCCAAAGAGAGCACCACTCCTCGGCCTTTTGCACGATTACACCAATCGGCCCCAAAATGTAAACAGAGGTGTATCAGACCCTAAATCACAAAAAATTCCAAATTATAACCCGATAGCTACAGTGGTTCTTAAGTTATAGCCAAGTTACTGTTTTCCAAAATTATTCAGCGAATTTTTCGGCTGCCTTTTTGCATGCTTTGATTTGCACCGACTTCCAGCTTTGAAACCCCCCATTCCGCTTACGTTCTCAGACGATTTAGTTTGCAAAATTATTTAGGGGATCCCCGATCTACCTAAAAACCCCGTAAACTTTTATTTTTAGACAATCCCAGACTACCAACCATACCACCTAGCAAATCGCGTCGCGGGAAAATGGTTGCAGATTGCCGGATGTAGCTTTGCTACGGTTCGGGTGAGACGGGCTAATGGTAATTGTCAAAGGTTCAGAATGCCGGCCACAATGTTGGACGGGACAGGCCGGAAGTGCTGCAACATCTCTTTGAAAAATTTATTGCAGGCAAAGCTCCGGGTGAATAAATACTTTGTAGATCCCGCAACGTTGAAATTCGAATTAATTTTTTTACGGCTTCGGGGGTCGTGAGTTTCTTGATTTTTCAGTGTTGAAGGATCGGTGGCCAGGGAGTGGCAGAAAAACTCAGACTGAATATTAAAAACGGCCGCTATTGAAGCATCTGGTGCGTGTGGCCTCATCTCAAAAGTATTACGCACGAACTGCCGTAACATAAATTCATTCAATTACCTACACTATCCAGATACTCCGGTAAGTTGACGAAAATCGCAAGCAACGTGACACAGAGTTCGATGACATCATCATGCAAAGATGCTTTGCGCAAAAGACTCCAAGGTTGATACGATGCTACAATACTAGCAACACGAGGCCACGCCCATATGCGGCAACTGTACCTTGAGGCGCTGATACCACAGTATCAAGGCGTGCCGGTAGCAAACGACGAGCAGATCGTCGTATTTCAATTTTTGCGTCTTCATCGCTTTTATCAGGTATTGCGTAATCTTAAATAATGAGGGTGAATAAGAATTACGTATTATAACTTTCTATCGAAAAATTAAGCAACCCGTTTCAGAGCAGTATTCGTCGATTTGCGTTCCCCCAGTTTACCGGTATAAATGGCGGCCGGTTACCGTAGTTTCGCTTACTTAAATTTCCTATTTCCAACGAAACCTCGCTAGGCCTACTGTAGCTACATATGAGCATTTTTAGGTCGCCCCAATGCGCATCAATCACCTGTTCGAGAACTTTTCCGACGTATCCGACCCAGCCGAGGGCGTGCGGATTGGTAGGGGTTTGTAGAGAATGTTAATCTTTGATTTCTATTGGTTGTATTCAAAGGAAAAGTAATTCACAAAAAGCCCCATGAGAGCGCAGAACAAAATTTCAAGCTTATCTCTACCCGATCCAAAGAGCACCCAATTAATTCTAGGCGCGGCCCCTCCGACCTGGCTTTCGGGAAATTTTCTCCGAAATGGCCCGGGCAAGTTTAAATTTGGTATGTGCCTAGAGAGTATTGAGAGCACCATCTTTTTTAGGTGATGATGAGGTAAATCATTGGTTCGACGGTATGGCCTATCCACAGCGATATCACTTCGAAAATGGCCGGGTCGGTTGACTGGGTGGCTTCTGGAGCTTTGCTTGAGAAGCTTGAGAGCCAGCTTGAGAACCTGCTGATACCAAATCCGTTTCAGATGCTTTATTCCGCAAAATTCCTCAAATCCCACGCATATCTGGCTTGCGAGAAAGACAAACGACTCGCTGTTTCGACATTTGCAACCCCGCGAAGCGTGCAAAAGAATGTATACAGTACACTGCCTCATCAAAGAATGTACTTTAGATGAAAGCTAAACCGGACAGCGGCGCCTACAATTGTCTGGTCAATTTTTTGCAGGTTTGAGAATGGCTTGGGGTTTCCTGATTAAAACGGAAATGCTACCCAAAAAAACCATTGCACAAATCAAAAAACAGAACAAATCAACATCGAAATCAAAAAGCGTAGATGCATTAAGGTAAACAAGGAAGTTTATGCTCTCACCGAAACGTCAAAGTGGCTTCGAATTTGTCAGGATACGTTGGAGGTGCAGGCACAGGTGAGGGATATCTCTTCACAAAACGAGAGCTTACGGATTTGCATTTGAGCATCACTTCAAGGATTTTTTGTTGGGATTTTTTGATTATACCCAAGTTTTCAGGAAGACATAAGTAACCACGTGGCAGAAATACTGTCTTGCTCGGCGCATCCAATTCGAGATCGTGACGTCACGGTGTATAACGTCGGCTATGGCCGAAAAATGAATATATTTTTATCCAACTTGCCGGTAAGGAGGAGAGATAGTAGAGATAGAGAAATGAGAATAAGATATCGAGAGAGAGAGAGAGAGAGAGAGAGAGAGAGAGAGAGAGGCTTCTGCTCCAAATCTGGATACTTCAGATGCCGCAGATCGACCGCTCGATAAAACGAGTATAAAATCACGCGTACCTTACACCGACCCGCCTTATCCATCCTACTGCCATTCGTTCGGAATCACCGAGAATTATTTGATCCTTTTCGAGACGCCGCTTCGGATTGCGATGAAAAAGCTTAAAAATAGGTAGGAAATGCAGGTTTTAACGAGCTAAAAGGTTTTGACAATTCCAAAGCTGGTAGCAACCACGTTTAATCGATTATTTTTAGCACTGAGCCCACCTGCTTCCGCGATGCCTTATTTTGGAAGGAGCGCCAATACGTTAACATTATTCTGGTGGACAAAAAGACCGGAAATCGGCATCCGCGCAAGGTGCCGTCTGAATTTTTTATTTGAATTTTGACTTGCTGTAAGGCAGTAGATACTTGCCCTCAGCTAACCCCCAGTTTATATATCCGCTGCTTCTTGGCCTACAAGGCTGTAAAGTATACCAAAATGTCCGTCTAGGCCTGGCGAGTTTTTTGCTTAACCTTACACAGCAGTCGGACAACGGAGCGCCGACATACGGTAGCTGAGGTTCGGCGGGGTGTGTGAAGTTTACCCTCATCTGCCTTGTTGATATATTTACCCCCCGAATTTCAGTTCTTCGCCCCGCCCTTCTTCACTTTTCACCACGCCAACGCCTTTGAACGCGACGGATTTTTGTGTAAATTCGAAATTTATGAATTTTTATGCGTGCCATAATTTTTCAGACGTCGATTTTTGTCTCGTGGCAAATCCGGGGAATTTCGAGGACTTGCTGCTACAACACATGCGAGATGGGTCTTTTTCGTCTAGGGTAGGGCTCGACCATAAAAACTAAGATCATTAAAATTGTTCAGAACCCATTGTTCCGTCCATTTCTCCATCGAATCGTCATTCCTACCAATGTTTCCGGAGGTATTGAGGCTGGCATCGACTTGGCGGAGGTCAATTTCTATTCAAACGCTGTTTGAGCTTCGCATAGATTATTGACCCTATAAGTATCAAACTTTAACACCCTAGCTTGTCAGCAGACATATTTTAATATTTTGACAATTAAATCTGCTCATAAAATTCCGGAAACACTTGCAGACGGCCGCTTCATCACGAGGTGCCCGGGCAATTTTACAAGCTGACGGCTCGGTCTTTTGCATCCCAGCCAAAATTTGCCAGCACTGTAAGTATCTTCCACTCGTTTTCCCAAGGGCATTTTCTGAGTTTCAAAAAGTGCCATTTTCGATTGAACGGCTTGGCTAAATATGCCATAATTCCTTTCAGCTTTCGAACTGCCACGCTACAACGAACATTTCACCGGAGTGCCATATCGATTTGTATATGGGACAACGATACTGTACGCTGGGCAGAAACGTCGGGTTCCCGGGGTGTGTACCCGTCTAGGGCGTTTTCTTATTGTTATTCTGCGTAATGTGCAAATGACTACAAGTACCGTATTTCCTTTCTTATATTTAAGGAAATACGGTATATACAGGGTGTCCCAATAAAAAAGGTCACGCTGGATTGGACAATTTTTATGTCCACATTTGAAGGTGGTCAAAAACGATGTAAATACCGGAGAAACGCTAATCCACTACAAGGACGACGCGGAGCAACTTTTCGGCGAGCCTGTTTTCGTACCGAGTCCGGACGGAACGGCCGAAGATGACGGTACCATTACATACCATCCTATTTCAAGACTTTTAGGGATCATCCTCGTGCCGGTGATGAGCGCGAACCTGCGGAAAAAGCCAATTTTCATGATTCTCGACGCCAAAAGCCTGCGCGAGATTTGTCGGTGGGTTTGGCTGCCCCCAAATAAAAAAAACATTCCAAATTCCGAGTTGTCGCAAAATGGACACATTTTCAGTTATGTTCTACCCGTTCCACGGATCCCCATGGGTTTCCACGCAATATTCGTTGATGCAGCAGCCGGAGACAAAGAAAATTGACGATTTTGATAACGTATGATAATATAAGAATTTTTGTATCCGTGCCTGGACCTGCCTCAGACCCGTAAGAGGGGGGGGGGCCGAAATCGGCCGTAGGCCGAAAAGTTCATAAGGTGGGACCCTTATGATTTAATTTTTCCAAAAAATTTTTTGCCTGCGGCGCTGTTTTTGTCTATTTTTAACACTAGTTTTAGTGTTATAAACCTTACGTTCTCAAAAATTTTGCCTGCGGCGCTATAGTTTTGGTCATATTAGTGAAAAATTTTTGGGGTCGTCCCCCACCCGAAATTTGGGTTTGTTACGGCCCTGACCTGCCTTAAACAAAATTTCTGGTGACTCGAGCTCAAAAACCCAAATTTATTGGTTGGCTAGGCGGCATCGAGTAGATAAGGCACAAAATAACAGAAAAATGGTAGACCCGGATGTGATTACACAAATGAATGAGAGACGTGGGAGGATATGGCGTGGGTAATGAGGACGTTTTAGCATTAGATGCTTGATGAACAGATTGATGCTTGCCAAAAAAACAACAAAGACTATTTGAATGAAATGTACAAAAATTTTCAAAAAAAGGGATACAGTGAAAGGAAAGAGCGAATGGAATTGTTTGAAGAAAAACCCATTATTCTTGTTGGCGTGGCCGTTCGACGAGGGGATGGTCGACTTCAGCGGTTGGCTTCAGGTGGAATCTTGCCACGAGCATGTCGCGGTACTGAAATTGGACGGAAATTAGCCTTCGCGTCTTGCAAAAACGCTTTTCGTATGGCTTACTGGCCTAGGGCAGCTAGGTATACGGGGGGTGTCCCAAAAATCTCCCCCCTAGGCGGCCGACGACTTGTCTGATTTTTACGATTTAGGGGTCTATCTATCAAATCCGCATATTTTTTAAATCGTTCTAACTAATATTTACTAATATTGTTTGATATACGAGGGGATTTTTTGATGTTTATTTGAACAAGGGCGTTTTGCAACAGTTGCAATATTTAGGCTTCTCCTGGCAGACCAACGACTACTTTTGAAAAAGCCTTGGCGAAAACACAGCTAATAAATCGCTTACACCAGTTAAATTCGGCTTTTGGCAACAAAAACGTGTTTTTTGATCGAAAAACGAGAGTCGAGCAAAAAGGGGCATACCTTTTTCAGTAACCACGAGTTGCTCCACGTCGTGACGACCGCGTTGAGCCCGATTCCCAATGCCAGGAGGTTCTTGTAGAAAACGGGCGGCAGTTCGGTCCAGTCTGCTCGTATTGCGATGGCCGTGTAGAGCAGGGGGATCCCGCTAATCAGCGCCACTGTAAACAGAGTACTTGCATGATTTTTGCCAGAATAGCAAACCAATTACTTACAGTGTCCCGCCAAAGCCTCGCTCGGTACTTGGTCGTCTTCTATCCGATCGTGACCAAATTTTTACCTGCGATGCGAACCCATAAAAAACTATGCGCAACCAAAGTTCCTACGCAAAATACTGTAAAACAAACAAGGTATGGCGAAATTAAGGTTGTATTTGCCGATTTCAGTAGGTTCGATTTCGAACTTGAAGTATTTAGCAAAAATGAATAAGGCACTTTTCGATTCGGAGAACTGCTTATATTTACGAAGACGGCGTCTAAAGCAGGACTTTTCTTCATCTTTTGCTGTCAAACGTCGGGAATTTTTCTGAAAATTGCGCAAAATCGACATGTAAATTGCGAAAATCTGCCCAAAAACTAGTACCACGGTGTCCAAAAAAAAACAAGTTTTGAGCGATAACTTAGTCGTTTTACAATATTTTACTTAGAAACTTCCGCTGCACATAGTTCTTATGGGTATGCACCGCTGGTAAAAATTTGGTCACGATCGGATAGAAGACGGCCAAAGCCTAAGCCAAAGCCTAAGTCAAAGCCTATGTGTAAGGCCGTGGGATAGCTGATTCGAAAAAGCATATATTTTCCCCAGATTGTGGCTTATTTTTATGCAGAAAGTATGTTACAAGAGTTTTTGCGGCATTTAAAATCGACCATTTTGAGCCAGTTTGTAACAAAGACAGCTGTAACTTTTGAAATCGAGCTCTTCCGCAGATTTGGAAAACAGACTCAGAATCAGCGAAAAATTCTGCACAAGATAGGCTTGATCTCGATTGGAATTTCCATGTGAAAACACCTTACAGTAAGCCAAGCCCTAAACCTAAGCCTAAACCTAAACCACTACCAAAACTAGCCGCTTGTTACAACGAAAAACCGACCTGCGTCCTGCAACAGCAGTGCTAGTAGAAGGGGGGCGGCCTTTGTGATGTGTTTGCGGGTGGACGCCCGGCACAGCCCGTAGACCATGAACGCGACGTAGCCGACGAAGGTGATCAGCCCCAACGCCGGGCTGACCATCGCCGCGTACACATTCAGCCAAGACGCAAATTGCCCTTGGCGTACCCTAGAAATCAACAATTCAAAAAGAACTTGACTGAAGTGTGTATCAACGTGATAATGCCACCCGTATGGTCATTCCCTCTGTGCAACCGTATTTTTGCGCTTATAAGCAAAGTGTTTTGGGTCAGGATGAAATTTGGAGATAGGGCCAAGCCCATCTTGTGCAGATTTTTTTTGCTACCTTCGAACCTGGTTTCTGAAACTGCCGAATAGTTTTGGTTCAAAAGTTTTGTGGCAGTTAAGGCGCTTTGGGGGCCCCCCGAGAAATAAATCGTCATGATACAGCGATTTTTTGTTTTCATGTACAAAGCTATTTGAAGTATCCTATCTAATAGAGAATTGTTTCTGATTCGAATGGTATCCGTTATTAAAACCAGTCAACGAGACGTTTTT